ACTGTAGTAAACAATGCATGCTCTGTATTGGTCTGCTGACACCAGTATCGCTGGCTTCATGCAACCGAAACCTGTGACAGACAGCGTGAATTCCTTAAGTTACTTTGGAAGGAAACGACTTGTGTATCAATTGGCAGCCTTATATCCAAGCTTTCTGATAGCAAGGTGTCCAGCACAGCTTTTTTGAGTATGTTATTCTTTTGTATGGGGGTCAAGCAAGGTGGTGGAAGTATGCTGACTCCCCTGCCACCTCAGAAGCATGATTACTTGAGTCACAATTTCCCTCCATCCTGGTCCTACCAGAGCTGACATATTGCCTCCTTCTCTTCTTTCCTCCTTGCTGGGCTCTGTATCCATTGCTGTCACAGGGCCGGGCATGCTATCACTGCTCCATTACTGGTCATCTCTGGAGGGCAGTGAGACCCTGGGTGGAGGGCCTGCAGCAGTGAGGCATTACCTGCACATTTGCCAGCTGCTATAACCATGTTTCACTGAAAACCACAGCACACTGATAAGCAAGTTCCCTACATGAACCAAGGATGGCACGTCAAAAGATGTCTTGTGGGATCAGCCCAGCTAAGGAAAGACACCTACTCTCCTTCCCTCCTCTCCTTCCCTCCCCCAAAAAACCCAGACTAGATTCAATATATAGCCTTAGTCTTGTCTAGCCCATCACATTTCTCATGCATAAAGCATCCTCAAAACGTCCTCAGATAAGACATTCTTTCTACCTCATGCTATTTCAGTTAACAATCAATAAACACAAACCCATTCAGGATTTAAGTGGGAATACGGATTCAGCATTTAGCAAGGGGACTACTGGGGTAACACATCTGCGACACAGCTAATGCCACCGCTTCCAAATGGATGCCCAAACTGGTGGGCATTTGAGGCAATATTGAGCACTTGAGAACCTGCTGCAAGCTGACCTCACATACCCAAGGCCTCCCACTCCAGGGTGCATTTGAGGGCACAGTAAAACAGCAGGAGTGATGAGACCACGAGGTGAAAGAGCTCTGATTTGGCTATGGACTATGGATACCCAGGGATTCCACTTCTTTGTTAATGTTCCTTTATTCTGCTTTGCTGCAGAAACCATGTAAGCATCCCGCCAAAGCAGGAACACTTGTGAAGAAGCACTACTTTAAAAACAGATATAAAATGGCTTTTGAAGCTTCTCCTACTTCTCTTCTTTCCCACTTCAACTAAGAACTTTTCTCTAGACTGGGAAGATGCATTTTTAAGATAGATTATTGGGAAAGTGAATTTAAATACAGAGAGCCAATCTAGATTTGCATGAAGGCACCCCAGAGTATCATCTAATTGTAAAAACTAAGAATGGAGGAGCCATCTAAATCCATCCCCCTGCCAATGGAGAACAGCTCCCCACTGGATATTTACAAGTTTTTAGTACCTTGGCCTTATGCCTCACATGCACCAGAGACATACTTTTAGGCCAATAAAACATCCCTTGTCATGGCTTAATGCTGGAAGAATTAATTTATCACTCATTATTTCCTCTTTTAAAGCTCTGCTCTTTGGACAGCTGTGACACAATTCCTAAAAATCACACTAGTTAAAGAGCAGAAGTACACTGTCCCTTCCAGCTCCCTGCCCACAAAGGCCAGCTATTCAAATGGTTTCCTTTTCCCAGTTTAATTTCAGCTCTTGCAGCTGATGAGGGACCAAAAAACACTGATCACAGGGGTGCTAGGGGGAACAGCTCGAGTTCTCTTGAAGGTCCTGCCTAGGCACCCTACAACCAAGGGTCTGACAGATAGTGAGAACAGCTTTGCCTTCACAGCAGTGAAGGGGTGTGCCTCTTTGGGCTAAATCAGGGAGTTCAGTCTGAATTCAGACAAAGTGAGGCTTGACAAAGTAAAGATGAAGTTTTGACTTAACTGAAGCCTAAGGAAATATGATTTCACTTTAAATAAGTCTCTCTCTGTCTCTATCACACACACACAATCCCAATGTAAGTGATTTCATCTTTCATAGTTGAAGGTCAGCCATTTCAACACAGTATTTTTTCCACAGCGAGTCACAGCTTCTGCTCTCCTGGCAGGTCTGCACCATCAACATCCTAAATAAACCACAAAAGCAAGGCAATTTGAAGTTACTGGACGATTTTATTTTAATGTAGCACCCAGCTTCATATCACATACATTTTCCAAAATCAGATGGGTACAGTATAGAACACTATACAATTTGCAGCTTACCATGGGGACAGTCTGCAGCTGTGAAAACAAATTACTTAAATTTGGCTATCTAATTTATAAGTTAAAATTCAAATATTTAATAGCCTCGGGGTATTTTTTTTAGATTAACAACGACAATGCTTGCAATACAATTTTTATATCAAAAAATCAGTAACAGAGTAAAACATAATGCATATGTTCATAGCACGTCATCATGAAGATAGCTGAAAAAAAGCTTCAAAATACATCATCTCTTCTCAAAGACACTACATCACTTAGATTTATTTTTTTCCTGAAAAAATACTCTTTAGTCAATAAAATATGCGGCTTCGTGAGCCCATGTATTTTCTTGACAAGGCCTGCGTATGCTGAAGGCTGAAGGTGCTGGGAAATGGACATCCCTCATTCCCCAGATAGCAACTTTTACAGGCTCTCTTCCTCCTGATCTGGAAGCACAGCTGGGAGGAAAGCAACATAAACACCACCAATAGGCAATTTTCACATCACGCCCATCTTAAATGCTTTCTCTGAAGGGTTCCAAATCCCAACCATCACTTTTGGGTCATTTTACCCTGCAAAAGCTCACCACCCCATGCTGGTTAGCTTGGCAGTGCTGTAGCATCATATACTGGCTTGGATCGGAAGGGACCTTAAAGATCATCTAGTTCCAACCTCCCTGCCATGGGAAGGGACACCTTCCACTAGACCAGGTTGCTCAGAGCCCCATCCAACCCTGAACACTTCCACAGATGAGGCATCCACAACTTCTCCGGCAACCTGTTTCAGTGTCTCACCACCCCTACATAAAAAATTTCTCCCTAGTATCTGATCCAAACCTGTCCTCTTTCAGTTTGAAGCCAGTCCCCCTTGTCCTGTCACTACACGTCTGTATAAAAATGTCCTTCTCCAGCTCCTCTGTAGCCCCTTTTAGGTACTGGAAGGTGGTAAAAGGTCTTCCCAGAGCCTTGTCTTCTCCAGGCTGAACAACTTCAACTCTCAGCTTATCCTCATAGGAGAGGTGCTCCAGCCCTCTGATCAGAGAATCATAGAATCAGACAGGTTGGAAAGGACCTCTAAGATCATCAAGTCCAACCCCTGATCCACTACCACAGTGGTTACCAGACCATGGTACTAAGTTGATCATCTCTCAAGCTGGGACAGTCTGAACGACAGCCAATCATCTCTCCCTGATGTGGATACAGAATTTCCAGCAGCAAAACTACTGCCATGCAGTCTGAAGTTAATATTCTGTTTTTAAAAGGTTACTTAACAACTTAGCAGCAACAGGGCTGCATTGACTAATCACTGACACTTTCGCTACATCACCAGAACTCTCTGGAATAATGAACTGAGGACTGTCTGGAAAGAGTTGGTAATGTTTCCACTGCATCCTAGTATAAAATTAATAACTAGGAGAAGGACGGCGATCCTTGAGGATTAATGTGTGTTCACAGGTAGTTTAATAAAGGAATGCCTCTGAAATGGAAACTGTTTGCCTTGATTAATTTCCAGGTCATTATTTATTTTTAAAGGTTCAGATAAAAATGGCATATCCACAAAGGCAACCGATCACTGAACTAAGCTAGGCCTTTTCCTTTTTTCACCACAGAACTATCAGATATTGAAACAAATATTTCACAGAAAGGTATCAGGTGATTTAGGAGCATCTCCCATCCAAAGTTTGAGAAAGCAAAGATTTCTGCAAGAAATTATGATTTTGCTACACCCATATTTTTCTAAAAGAAAAATAATTTTTGAGAAAATCTGTGATACTGGATTTAGATGTGAACTTGGGCCAGCCAGGGCCTGTTAACAGTAGCCACGAGCATGGCATGGAGCAACTGCTAGAAGCACTGTCTACAGCTTCATGATGCCTTGTACTCTCCTCAAAAGGCTAACAGCTTCCCAAGACTAGACATACTTTTTCATTTGGCATGGGCTATCATAAATGCTTAACCGTTGAGACACACAGAAGAGTAACTTCCTGCATCATATGTATAACACACCAACATTTCTCCTAGAATATTTCACTTTACTCTCTATGTGAGCTTGTGTATCACCATCATAGCCGACATCTTACCAAAAAGAATATACATATCAACTCACATTACAGTCATTGAAGCTGAGAGGGGCATTTGACTGCAACCTTAAAAATGCAGGGATGGTTAAATATTTTATTTATTAAGTCCAGTGGTAAAGTAACAATCAAGTAAGTATTTCATTGTTGGCTGAGCATGTATTCATAATTTCCAGTAAATGAAAAAACTTTCCATATTTTAGAGTGGAGACATTTGAAAAAGATAGTATAAAACAGACTCTTCCACAATTCCTTAGAACAGTGTCTACTCCATGAATAACTCAAGTGAAATAAATGCAGGATTATTCCAAAGGAAGCTCCTATCAAACATGAAAAAGTCCTCCACTGCCTTAAAAATGCAGTGAGCACACTTCTTTGTAATAACTGAAAAGCCTTCCCTAAAATATCACCCATAAAAGAAAAAGCTAGTGTGCCATACAATTATTTTCTATCAAATAGTAAGGGTTTATTAACCAAATGACCACATAAGAACTAAAAAGCAAACAGAATGAGCACTTAGCCTCATTAAATCTCCAGAATGACTCAGTAGTATTATGAACAAATTAAATAAATGATGATAAATTTGGAAAAATATCACTACTAGCAAGAGGGCAGTGGCTCTTTTGCAGCTTCCCAGAAAAGTTTGCATTCCTCACATTTTGTCACTGACCAGGAATGACTGTCTGACCTCAGCTATGCAATAGTCACAGAAGAGAAGTCCCAAATCCAGAGAAAACAGTTGTTTCTTGTTGACATAGTGATGTTTAATTGAATCAAAACTAATGTATCACAAAAACAGAGTTTCAGTAACAATTTTGCAAATGGCAATTTTCACCTTTAGACTTCTGGGTTCATGTTCCACATCCATATTCCTTCCAGCAAAAGTAGACTGTTTCCTCATCAGTTTAAACATTCTCACTGATGCCTTTCTTATCTCTCAACAAAACTTTTGGCTGCTCTGGTGCCCTCTGATATGCCACAGCAGCCATTCAACTACATGCCCTGAAGACAGGCTACCCAGCTGCTTCAAGCCTGCTTCTCCTTCCTCTCAGGCCCAGGGCCATCCTATAGCTACAGGGAGAAAGCATCACACTAACAACAGTGACAAAATTTTTGCACTGTTTCTGCAAGGCAAACACATACACTTAAATTAGGTCAGTGAGCAAAAGGACATGAAACGTGCAGCGTCACGTTTAAGGTGGGTAACAGGTAGGTGACATTCCCTTGCAGTGAAGCACATCATACCCATGGTGTGAGCAGGGCTGATATTATTATGGCTGAAGTCACCCAACCTAAGGGTGCTGCCCGAAAAAATACAGCAACATTAGCTAGCCAGCTTCCATTGTAAGAACTGAGACCAAAGCCACCGACCACTGCATCCACGGAAAAATCCCCACGGGATTCAGTTGGCCCTGGATCAAACACAAGTTAAAAATTCATCTTTGCTTCTTCATTTAGAAAATAGATAGGCATTAGCAGCTTTATCCTATCAGTAGCATCTCCACTGATGTGCAAAGGAACCTTAACGAAAGCCTGCTGTAAAAGGCAATTATTTCCATCACACATTTTATAGCCCCATACATAGCACTTTTGCTATCTTTCTTCTTTTGGAAATACAGTTCTTGTACACATCCTTAAAAATATCAGCAGCTATTAAGACAACAAAGCAGACTAATACAAATGCACACAGAACTGCTTTTATAAAAATGCCCTGAATGCATTTTTAACCTGTTGTTAGAAATATAGTTGGTTAAAAAAAAAAAAAAAAAAAAAAAAAAAAAAAAAAAAAAAAAAAAAAAAAAAAAAAAAAAAAAAAAAAAAAAAAAAAGCTATAAATCAATGATTTCAAATATGCCAAAAGAATGCAGAGACACTGGCAGTTGCATGCAAGTGATAAGAAACAACTATAGCTCAAAACAAGATTTTTTTTCAATTTCCAAAATAACTACATTTTAGTATTTTTTACTGTTCTCTCATACGCCTTGAGCTTCTAAAATACAAGTTCTCTAACATTAAAATACATCCATGATTGCATAATGAACAGTACTAGGAAAATAATTATTTGACATGTGATTAAGGATAAAGGTTCTGGACATCTTGTGAGTTTTATTTCTATGGTATGTTAAACCCATGGGTACTCTACCATGACACAATCCTGCAGGAATCAGTAACATCCAGGAGCACATCTCAGTGGACGAGTTTTCAATTTAAGCAAGAATTCAGGAATGCTGTACCTCTTAATGAGCAGGGCAGGAGGTGCTGCCAAAATGCATATAAATCAGGAATCCTTTACATAAATAAAATACTCTTAGGTTATTCATTTCAGTGATAAACTGCTTTTACACATTAGGCTGGAAAGAGGGAGGAAAGAAGGCGAAGCATCTCCCACTCAGAAATATCTGGCAGTCAGGTATTTGTTTTCTGTCTCTTCCTCACCTGCAAAGGCAAACGCATATAGTGGGGTGAAGGGAGACCTTACAAGGCTGGTCCTCCCCACTGCCTTGGCAGAAACCCTGCTCAGCCACACCCAGGTCCTCTCCTTGCAAGGCTGTCGGACACGTGCTCTGCTCTTGTTGCTGCACAGCGGTGCGGAAGTCACAGGACGGTGACAGGACGTAGCTGCTCCAGCTGCGTTTCCAAGGCAATTCGTTCCTTGTGAACTTCCTGTAGGAGGGAGAGATGGGTGTTCTAACTTTTGGGATGCTTGTATGCACCACCCTGCTCCAGTGAAGAGCAGCCAGGCAAACCACTAGCATTGACTCAAGGTTCAGGGCTCTGCTGTTTTAGTAACTGTCCTTGTGGTCTCAAAACGCAGCACCAATTCCACACAACCCCTCTGCACAGCTTCTGCTGCCTCCTGACAGAGGGGCAACACAGAGGTTTAACCAACCACGTGCTTGGGCGACCAGGGAGAGGAGCAGTCATCCATTGGCCAGTGGAACAGCTGGGGCTGCAGCAAAGATAGCCTCAACTGGCCACTTCTACCAGAGAAAATCAGGCTATTTTGAAATAAGGTTTCCTTCAAAACTGCTTTTTGATAATTTTTTTGGTTCTACAACCAACCTCTTTCCTTCGGGAAATGAACAAGACTTTAGATTTTGCAATCTACCTCTGTGGCTGCTGCAGCAGGAAGATCATCAGTCTCAGTCAGAAATTAAGCATGAAGGCTTTAGGGACCAGTGATTTTGGGAAAGCTCTCCTTGTCTTAAGGCTGCCTCTGTATGGAGAGGCACCCAGCTCTTGTTGACCTCCCATCAAAGGGCTCCCTGCCAGTGTGGGACCTGGGCTGAACTATGACTCCTCCAGGTTTTGGGCAGGCTCAGAGCCCCAGCATGGGCATGCACTTGAAACTTCCTGGTCCTCAGTGCAAGATGTGCCTGAGGAGTCATCTGGTCTCCATAAAAACAGCAGAGCCCTGCTCCATCAGAAAGTTTCCAGGCAGCAATACAGCTAAAAGGAAAAGCTGTTGTGTGAACTTAGGCAAACCTCTATGTCTTTTCCTGCTGTAAAACACAGGTAACAGCACTGCCCTGCTGAAGATGGAGCAGGTAAGACTTGAGTCAAGGAATGATGGCAATGTGCTGTCATTAAAAGCTTTCATCTCTATGCTTATTTCAATTACTGTTATATATTTTGCTCTGATTTCAGTACAGAGCATCCACCCTCAATCTCTCTTGGGAGATCCTTGAAAAGCAGTTAGAAATTAAGTTTAGCAAAGCTGAACAAGCAAACTTTCCCCCAACTGGAAAAAAGTCCATCTGCAGGTTCACTATCCTTTCTAGACATGTGTTTATAACATGTGAGGAAGAAAAAGCTGTAGGAGGTAAAAACCTGAAGTCTGTACTGCTTTTGGACTTAGACAATGGAAAAATGAGAACTGATATTTATAAGAAAACAGTCCCTTGGGAAAACATTAAAGGACAAGTCAGCAGACGTTAAAAAACAGTCTTAGATGCTCATGCAAAACGTGGTTTAACTAGTCCATGTATCTCAAATGCCTGACTCCAGGAGACAATAATGTAGCACAACTGATCAGAAGACCAGAAAGCTTGGCTTGAGTTGGTCTTCTGCACCAGGTGACACCATCACATTAGCAAACTTTTCAGACAAAGTTCATTCTTTAAAATTATGCTGCCAGTGAAGCTGTAGGCTCATAGGTTGTAATTTTTCACAGAAAGCATCATCCTACCCTCATGTACAATACAATTATTCCCTTCTTGAAAGCAGGAAAGTCTCATCTGAGAGGATGAACAAGATTCTCTGCTGGAGGTGACACATAACTGATTACAGGGAGTTTTGTCACTGATTTGCAATGCATTCCTTACCTTCAGTTGCTGCTGGAGCTCACTGTTCAACCTGGCGAGCACAGCATTGGCTTCTTTGTTTTTTCGTATGGCGGTCTGAATAGCCCTTTTCTGCTTGGAAGACTGTCTGCCAGACAGATACAAACATTTCAATTAAGAGCCTCAACAGCGGCTGATGCCAGAAGACCAGCCATCCATTTTGTGAGACTGTACTCTCTACAAACTGGACTATGCTTCAAAGACAAGGTACAAACTACAGATTCAAGAGAAGGAAAATGCAATGCTGCAATTAGATGCCTGAATCAGGTAGAGTTTTTGAAAGTAAAACAGTCACACCTGTTAACGTGAATGACAGAAACATTTTAGGCTGTCTCAACTATTTCTGTTTTCAGAAACTTGTAGAGCTTAGAGAGTCAGGAGTAGCTAATGCAAAACACAAAAATCATTCTATACAGAAATAAAGGACATAGACATGAAAATGCTGTTTCAGATTTTTGGGGCACTGCTGATTCTGATGGTTCTTCACTTCAAAAATTAATCTTTCTTTCATTCAAAGCAGTTATTTCCACCAAAACCATCTGATATCACAAACAAGAACAGAGGGATGGCTTATGGACTCTCCTCATCTGTTTTCTGCTTAAATAAAGGATATCTCTCTTATTATTATTACTTCATAGCCTGTGGTAACTGACCTGGAGGAAATGACAGCTAGGCAGACAGGTACAAAAAGAGACACCTCTTTACATAAGGACCACTCTATTCCAAAAAAAACGAGGTAACAACAGGAAAAAGAAAAGAAAATACAGAAAATACCGGCTGAATATCCAATCCCTCGTCCAAATAGCTTAAAGTTTTACATGAGGCTAGAAGAGCTCTTTAATGCCAAATTTGATCTAAACCAGATGCCCTATTTAAATACGGTCGGCAGTGGCACAGAGTCCCCATTAGCTCGTCTGTCTTAACAGAGCTGATGGCACTGATCTTTGCAATAGAATCTTTTTCATAGCACGGCAACAGGACTTGATGCTGTTATCTTCCAGTGAATTGTCAGTTTTCTGCTTCACTATTTTGGTTCAAACTACTCTCCATAGGCTATAAAGTAATAGATGATAAAAAAAAAAAAATAAAAGCAGGGCAATATATGTCTGTGGCCATTTAAACATTTTAGGAAAGACACAGACAAGACAGGATTGAGATGTTAACAAATGCTGTTATCTCTGAACCACTATGGAATATGCACTCCCAAAGCACAAAATAGCACTTTAAAAGCATCCTAGGAGTCTTATTACTTATTCTAATCTCCAATTATGCAGCACAGATACAGTCTACTGATAAAGAGTTTGCCAAGAAACGCTCAATTGCTTTGGGCAGCTTGGTTTTGTTTCAAGCTGAATCAGATGTCTTTGCAAGGCTCTGGGTGAAGGTGGGGTATAATGTTTGCACAGTCTTTCAGTTGAGGGAAATGCACAGATCCAATAGGGCTTCAAGTGCCTTTGTTTACCATTTGTACAGCCCCTTCCCCACTGCTATTAAATACACATACAAGTCTTTGCTGCTGACAGCTTTGACAGCTGTATTTATGAGAGTGAACACCACATGTTGGGTTTGGCCATTACTGGATTATTACAAGTGGCTCAACTCACACCAGTGGTAAGCTCATTTCCAATATGCCTTGCAACAAAAAAATATCACAAGGATATGACCAACATCAAGTATTTTATGACTCAGTTTCCCGGGCATTTATTTGGTCATATCTGTCCAAATAAATGAGTGTAATTCCAGAAGATACATGCAAGGCAGAAACACACACCTGCACATGTAAAAGGAGTTACATTAGAGATGCTGGCTGAACAGCTCTTCAGATACGTCTGCCAGATACAGAAGTACCTTTGAAGAGGTTATCTATCAATCAAATACCACCAACAGTCACTACAGGCTTAGTTTACATTTGAGAAGACCAATGCACATTTCAGAGACCTGCATCTAGTGAAGCACTCTCAAAACCAGAACTATTAAGCACAAAATTACACAAAGAGGAAACCCTGCCATATCAGATCTCATGGTGCAGTTTGGCTTGCTTAGTCCAGGTTTTTACTTTTGAACGGGGAGATGAGCCTTGGCTGCTGGCTGGGAAGAAGTCACGTTTATAGTGGGAGAAAGCTCAGGGGTCTCCAGCCCTTGTGCCTCCGTCCGGAGCTTCCTGCGGGCAGGTTTGGAGGGCGGCTGAGCAAGAACAACCTCCTGAAAGGAAGAAGCACAGCAACGTTAAGTCAGGCCATATGTGTCCCATCATTAGGCTGGGCAATATGACACATAAATTGCTGACAGCTGGACTAAGATTTCATAATTTAAAGAGGTACAGAGCTTAATTCAAATTCGGTAATAGCTTCTCAGGTTTCCGACTTTGAAAAAGGAACAAAAACTCCTGCAATCCCTTAATGAATTAAATGATTATACTGGTGTTTTGTCTTCATCTGGATGAGAGGCTCTTCAGACTGTATTGTATAGCTCTGTGTGCAATGGGCAGAGGTAGAGGTATAAATACACATACTGGCCCCCAGTTGACTCAAAAGCATTAAAACCAAAGCTAGATTTAATTTTGATTATGCTCAGTTGGTAAGAATCAATAATCAATCAATCACTTGTATCCCATCTTACAGCCTCACACATCTGGCACAGAATTTCTCCCTTCTCCCTTCCTCTCTTACATGAAGCAACACTGAAGATAGCTTAGAAATACAAATATATAAAATTATCCATGCAAAATTAACATGTTGGAAGTATAGAAGGCCAGTTATTTCTCTTGATAAATTACATCAAATAGATAGTCTGGGTTTTCTAGGTCAAACATAGTCTTGGATTTTTATGACTTCAGTGGTAAGAAGAGTTTTAGTTATTTTAAATTAAGACATCATTTCTTTAGCAACAAAAACAGTTTTAATGTCTTATAGCTGTTTTAAATCTAAAATATAAATACATCCTTTTAATTGTATTTTATTATTAGATCTGTTTTACAAGGGATATAGCTATTACTGCCTCATTTCATAAATGAGAAAGCTAAGACCCCAACAAGTTGAAGGGACTTGAGAAAGGTTTTTTTAGCACCACAGACAAAACCAGAGACCAGATTTTCTTATTGCACAGTTTACTGGGCTAGACTACATGCATTACTAAGTTTTGACCAAATGTTAGTAAAATAAGAAAAAAAAATAAATGGGGAAATATTTAATGACACAGCAATTACAAGAAAAAAACAACACTGTAATAAGCAGCCTGAGTCACTGGAAGAGACTACTATGAGTGATAAAAATGAAAACAACGTAAGACCATCAATCATTAGTATTAGAGGGATTGCAATTATTAAAGGAATTTGAATTATAAGGAAAAAAGGGTTTCAACATTAAAAAACAGTTCTGTCATTACTGAAAAAAAGATCTAAAAATATTATGAGATGTTCTGATCAGGACATCAGCACATCATGACTGCACAGGTCTCTGGTAATACCATGCTCTGAAATCCTGTGCAGACACACAGGTCCCTGCAAACACCACATGCGGCAAGTGAAGAACTTGTGTATGCCTTCTACAACTGTAAACTGCTGGGATGCAAACACACAATCCCAGTCTACCTTAAACTGCCCAAACCCTACCAAATCCACAGGATAAATCCCTCTGCCATTTCAAACACAATACTGTAAGCAATGATGCAATACTAAAAAGCAGATCCCTCTGTAGGGGTTCTTTGGCTGCCTGCTGCTGCACAAGGCTTTGGAACAACAACAACCTGCATCCCACACCCCACAGCCCGGGGCTTCACTGCATTTTAGGGATCCAGGTGGGATAAGGGTGAGCATGAAGTAGGTGGACTGCAAGGACTTTATTTCCCCTCAGCAGGGCTACAAAGCAAACCAAGGAAGAACCCAGACAAGGCTAGAACTAGCACGTGATGAGCACTAGAAGAACAAGGACACTGCCTGGAAAACCATATCACACACAGAAAGTGCCAACACTGGACATTTGTCTGTGGCCCCCATTAGAGCAAGAAGGGTGATGGTGCTCCCTGAGCAAGGTACACACTACATACGGCACCTGCAAACAGTTCTTGGCTGGGCTAAGCAAAGGTCTTGCAGGTGCTCTCTGGCTGCAGGAGGGGCCAGAGGGTCAAGAATCTTCATTTGCCCCCTGTCAAAACCTGTTCTGGCTGAGGCTAGTGGAAGGAGGTGGTGGGAGCATCACCAGGAGAGGGGAAATGCTCACAACCACTGCTAAGGCCATTCCATCCCTAAGCAAGGCTCTTTGAAGAGTGCTATTGCAATTCCAGTGCTTACTTTATACAATGATATGTTCATACAAAAACATATTAGAAGCTGCACATCTTGAGCAAATCTCTCCCAGTCTGTGTACATTTCATGGCAGATCCTAACCTCTAGCAAACAGGTGTGTATACACCAAAATTAAATCCTCAATAACTGAAACCAAGAAGCGCAAGAACTACAGCAAGGCAGGGGTCAAGTACAAACTCTTTTTTGTCTTCCCTAAGGCTCCACAAGGCTCCCTAAGGCTCTCCTATTGATTTTGAAATAAATGGCAAGCTGCCTCTCTCAAAGCACATGCATCAATGTGTATGTATTAAGAGCTTTCTTAATGATTTATCCGAGTTGATGTCACACATGATCCCAGTTCTCTCCAGCGTCTTGACCTCTACAGAAGGTAAACATGTGAAAACATAACCCTAACCCTCTGTTTAATTGCTTTAAAACCTAAACCAACCACATTTGTTGATGAAGGCAAATCACTCCATAATGGAACAATGTGTGCAGGTCTCACCTTTTTTGCTGAACTGTTTTCTTCTGCCTGCGATGGGGGTCTATTCATCTGAGGATGTAAATCAACCTCAGATGGTTGCTCTGTCTGCAACAACAAATCAGTTATTGCTACACCAAGTCACATACAATAAAGTCAATGAAAGGAAACGTTACACACAAAAGAAAAGTTACTTTAACAATTCAACAGTAGGGAAAAATGGAGATCTAGGTTGACAGCTGAATGGATGACATACGTCTTTTGCAGATTTTTAATGAAACCATTTTCTTGCATTTTAGAAGAAGACTTCGTGAACCATTAGGAACTGACGAATGTAAACAATCTAGTACTCATAATTTCTTCTAGAGTTACCCATATGGCCTAGATATTTAGAGAAAAACTAAGGAAGGTGGATAAAAGCTAGAAAGATTTTGGATGCACCCTGTCACCTTATTATCACCTGAAACCGATGAAAATTCATTGGAGTAAGCCTCTGTCTTTGAAGTTTGCAAGGCTGAAGTGAGAAAGCATGAATCATACCAAAAATTCCAGCAAAGTTACTGAAAACACAAGTCATAAAAGCAGACAAATAAATCTTCCCTCCTCCCTTCTCACGTTTCAAACAGAAACCAAGATGAACACTCACCACCCAGGTCTACACATCTGCAAAACAAAACACCCTCCCCCCACCATATCTGACCGAGCAGCAAATTAAAACAGAGGGTTAATCCCTTGCTTTGCCTTTTCTGAAACCTCTCTGCATCTTTTGACAGGGCCCAGCATAGGGAAGGATGGATTTGGAGCTGCCTGTCCCTGGGCACGCAGCAGCAAACACGGTATAAACACAGTTGCGACTGTTTTCTGTCCAGAAAGTATGGGCTGGCTCTCCAGGATGGGGAAGGCAGGCAGGAGCAGGAGGCTGAGGGCACTTGGCACCACCAAGCAGCCTCTTCTCCCCTTTCCCAGCTTCTGCCAAGTTGAAACCACATTGGCAACAGCCCCCAGGAAGGAGGGGCAACCTGTCATCCTGCTCCCTCCACAAGAAAGCCTCATTTCTATACAAGTGAAAAACCAAATCTGAGGCAAACCTCAAACTTTCAAGGGACCAGAATTTTAGCCATAATAACTTGCTGCACACTGAAGAACCTCACTCGCTGTTGCCAAGAGGTTTCTGCAGAGGCCCACCAAGCTCTGTAGCAGTCACAAGTTTACCAGTGCTTAACTGTAAGTTAAACAAAAATTACAGAAAGCACAGATTTTGGTATATTTAAACAGGAGGAATTTTTTCACTTTGATTTCTTCCATAACAGACACAGTAAGAGCTGTACAGAAAGGTCCAGAAAAAAACATGGTTCCGTCAGGTTACTGCTGTTCTCCAACCATATGGCATCAAACATGTGCACAGAGCAGGGAAATTTGGAATTTACTTTTTTTTTAAAAACGCATGTGAAATCCCTCAGGAAGGAGGGAAAAGTTATTTTGACTGAAAAGATTTCTCCCCCACCTTCTTTTAAGTGTGCTACATCTGTAGTGTTACTTGATGGTTAAAAAATCCAAAACCCAGTCACACTGTAACATTACAGTATCTGAATAATAGTATCTGGATTTTTTTAAATTTTAATAACTACTGAATATTAACATTTGAATTCTTGAAAAGCTGTTTATGTATTGAAGAGTCTCCTCTCTAACTGTAGATTTCTGGTCCAATTAGAGTGAAATGGTAAAAAAGCTATCTTTTTATCTGTCTATAAAAAAAGGCCACTGAATGCAACTGAGCATTTTTTTATCAGCAAAGCTGAGTAGCCCATAAACTCCCTGATTTCTACAACCACTGTGTTTGAAAGAAATAAGGGCTCTAAGCACTGGTAGCAGTAGCCTGGGAAAGTCCACAAGGCTTTCATGAACAGTCTGGGGACAGAAAAGGTCAAAGAGCAAACAGAACCACATCACATTATCATAAATTTGGGCCACATCACTTGGACAATTCATTCATTCAAGGACAGCAAGAGTAAACCCAGCCCTTCAGAGAGCCACATAACATGCGTACTATTAATTCCTCATGGTATAACTTTGCTGCACAGCCCAGAACAGTGACAAGGTACACGAGAGACAGCTCTTAATGATCCCTCTTGGACAGCGATTCCTAGAACCCTCTCTACCCTGACCAGGCAAGAAGTTTCCGGTGCACACACACTCGTTGGAGCCTACATTAAACCTTGCATCAAAAGCAAGAGTATACTAACTTATTCCACATAATGAAAAAAAAAAAAAAAAAGGTAATCAACCCCATGTTATTTATGTATAGATTAAAAAAAAATGCAGCTTTTGAAGAACCAGTGTGTTCAAACATTGTAGAAGTAACTGAAGAGACCATTACTCTATAATGTCAGCTGCAAATAAGTGGAAAAAATTATGGTAAGATAAAGGGCCTGGAGGGGAAGGAAAAATACAAAAAACAAACCTCAAACTTTTGCAAAAGCATCCTTTCTTCTTTTTCCTCTCTTCCTTTTTTTTTTGTTTTTCATTATTTTTAATGGTGTCACTGCAGAAGGATACTGCTTTAAACTGAAGAGAACCAAAAAAAAGGGTAAACTTCATAACCTGGTAAAAGCAAATACAAATGGCATGGATGATGCCAAAATTTCCAACAGTTTGATATTGCCGTTCCTACTGATGCAAGACACATTTTTTGTGAGCTCAGTGCTATGATGGGCTGTGGCAGCTGTGCTGCAGGGTTGCAGTACCTGCTGCCTGAGGCTGGGTCACTGGGCTGGCCACTTCTCCCTGTTGCCAAGATGTGAGAATGGCAAAGCTCAGCTGCCAGAGGAGCAAGGGCTGGTAAAAATAAAGAAATATCCGAAAAAAAAAATAATAAAGAGGGAAACCCCCAAAAAAGACAACTAGTTCTGGTGATGTAGCTCATGCGTAATGAACATAACCAAGCGACTGCCATGTCCCTAAAGTGCCACCTAGTGGCATGTGGCACAGGCCATTTCTGAGTGCTTCGCTTGGAGGAGACTTCCAAAAAAAAGGTGTCTGCATCACTAGGAGCCTGCAGATTGAGCCTGCCCCACGGGCATGCTGCTACTGGGCGTGCTGAGCCTTGGCTCTTCCCAAAGTCACCTTTCCCTCTCAGGCAGAAACCAGCTCTACACATGAATTATCTGCTGTCAGAGTTACAAGCTCTCCTCTAGAAAGATCTCCACTCCTTAGGGCAATGACTGACACAAGAGTCCAAGTGTAAAAAAAGATCTGTGTGCTGCTGCAGGGGATTTTGTTAAGGGACAGACAGCATTTAACCCAGGCAAAAATCTTTTAATTCAGGCAAAAATTTTTTGTTAACTGTATCGTGCATCAATGCAAAGGTTTGCTGATGCAGCTAACGCAACAACGTCCTCTCTGAGAAGCTTCACAAATATATCTGCAAGCTGATATCTCCCCACATTGTCCCTACACAGATTTTAAAGGAAAAATAACTCTTGCTTTTTCTTTTGGCAGAGGGATTCCTTGCAGATTTCCTTTCCTTCACTGATTTGGATGTGAGGTGAAAGCCAGTAGTAGCAGCCTTCAGGTAGAGTGAGCCTGGCTCAACAGCACTCTGGTCCAAGCTCCCATAGTGGAATACAAGGAAAAGGTGATCCACCAGGAGCAGCTGAGGTGGGTTTCAGTTCTTCATCATTTTCATACCATGCTTAGTATAGTCTCTGGGCATCTAATTTCTCATTCAGAAACATAGCCATAAACTACCTCCTTCCATCATAGAAATGTCTTAGAATTTTCCCACATACTCGAAACTTGGCCCATTTATATTCAAATACTTCACCATTGGTACATAAAACTGAAAGATTATCCATTATATAATATGGTCTTTCAAAGGAAATTTCAGTTATGGTAGTGGCGAAGTGTTCTTCAATGGAGGTGTCTCACTCACATTCACAGAACACTGAGAGTGCTGCTGCGCTGGCTGGTATGGCTGAGAACACACCCAGGGATACAGGAGATGAGCAAAGAATATCCTGCTCATCTGCACTACCAGCAGTGCAAACAGAGGCTGATGACCAGGCCTAAGACCATCTTGATTTTGGGAAGCAGAGAAAATGACCACAGAAAAGAGCAAGATAGTGCCCTATTCCAAATCTCCTGAAGAGATTCTCTTTGCAGAGACCAGACAGTATCTAGTTTATTAACAGATAGTATCTAGTTTATTAACAGATAGTATCTAGTTTTTTCTCAGCACAGTTCTGAATTTTCTGGGATCAGCCATACCCTTCCCATTCTTCCAGGCAAAAGGTAAAACTGGCCAACAAATTTTCTGTGCAACGGCCACAGCCAGAGCCCAACCTGTGGCCTACGGCAAATGCTCATTATTTCATAGCATGAGCCTCTACCAGACATTCATAATCTCCTCAATGCTCCATGTGACGATACTTAACAGCACCTTTCTAAAAGAATACGTAACACTCACTTGAACACTAAGTGCTTCGAAAGCCTCAGATGAAAGATCATTGTAACTACAAAAGAACACAGCATCTTAACAACTGGGCCTTCGCTTACATTTCCAGTTCTGTTGTTCTGCAATGCTGGATTATATGTAGATTTTACACTCACATTTCAAGACAATCCATAACTGATCTTCCAGAACACAAGGTCTACATAGAGCTTTCATATTTCTGTTACCTGAGAGGCTTTTTGCAAGAGGTAAAGTATATATTCAATCTTTCCCACAATTCAATGTTGCCCACACTTACGTTCCAGGTTAACTTTACATATGGAAATAGTCCCATTGTAGTCAATGGCATTACTCACAGAAATGAAATTATCTCTGTGCATTCACTGGAGTAGCCTATAATCATTACCTATACAGTGCCACTGCTTAGCTTTGCAAAAAAAGTATTGAGAACAGCTTATCTATATAAAAAGTAGGATACTACATATCCTTAACACTCTGTGTGTGCCCACTGCAATCTTCTATCATCTCTACACAAGTTCATTTAATAGGTATTTTGCTCCTTTCTAAACATTCATATTTTTGTGCTTAAAGCCAATTTCTGAGAAGTCAAGACATCTCAATTCTGGTTTCTGTGAGTCTTCTGCATCCCACACTGAAT